CTCTCTCTCTCTCTCTCTCTCTCTCTCTCTCTCTCTCTCTCTCTCTCTCTCTTCTCTCTCTCTCTCTCCTCTCTCCTCTCTCCCTCTCTCCCTCTCTCCCTCTCCCTCTCTCTCTCTCCCTCCTCCCTCCTCCCTCCCTCCCTTTCCCCTCTTTATCTTTCCCTCTCCCTCTCCTTCCCCCGTGCCCCTGTCTCGGAATCCTCATGCACGCCGGAGACAAGGAGGAGGTCCTGAGACCCTGCAGACGGAGCGGGAGGTGAATGATTACAGACTCCGGCGATGAAACTTGTATTAGGCTTCTTTCTCTTTTTACAACTGCTCATTTGAGACATTAAGGATCGCTTGGGGAGAGGGGGGAAGGAGGGGAGTGGGAGAGATGGAAATGTCATGAGGATTCATTTATTTATTTATTTTTACTTTATCATTTTTGAGTGGGGAGTTGATGGTAAGAAAAGCTAGATAAAGAATATCACTATTTTTTACATTCACAGTGGAATTTGCTTTTTCTTCGCAAAGAATACAAGATAAAGGTCAAAGGGGATGGCAAATTTATGTAGGTGTTTTTAAGATAAATGATCAGAGACTCCAGCGAGAGGTACATGGCTCCTGTTGCATGCGTAATGATAGCCTCGTGTTAGGAGAGTGGCAGCGACAAGTGCCTCCGTGTTCTGTGAATGCTTCGTTGCATTAAGTGCTTGCCGCTGCGTGTCTGGAGAGAAAGGAAAAGAGGAAGGAAGTAGGCAGTGGGACATAGAGAGCGTTGTTTAGTTCCTATTATTCATTTCTCTTTTGATCTATACGATGCATTGAAAGTTGATGGCTTGAATGCGTTTCCTAATGTGAATTCGATGTGCGTTTCAGGGAGTTCCTGTCCGAGCTGGAGGCATGTGGTGTGGACCCCGTGGAAGTGGCTCGCTGCTTCGTGAGGAACAACAACGGGTTCGCGATTTACACGCAATACTGCACCAATTATCCCAGGTGAGTCGCGCGACATCCTGGCGTCGCTGACCCAGATGTGCCTCGAAAAGGGGGCTTAGAGAACGCAAAAAGAAAAGGCTTCTAGAAGTGGCTTTCAGTTGTGGACTTAGTATTTGTGTACTTTTTATATTTGCATTTAAGCTTGTGTTATTAACCTATCATGTTGTGCCCATCAATTCATTTGTCTGTTTGTGTCCAGGACGGTGTCGGTACTGACCGAGCTCATGCGCGGAGAGGCCTCCGTGCGAGCCTTCCGCGAGCGGCAACTCGCCCTCGGCCACACCCTGCCTCTCGGCTCGTATCTCCTCAAGCCCGTGCAGCGCATCCTCAAGTATCACCTCCTCCTCGGAAACATCGTCAAGCACTTCGAGAAGGAATGCAGTGGTTACTCCGAGATCTGGAACGCCCTCTCGGCCATGACGGGGATGGCGCACCACATCAACGACATGAAGCGGCGCCACGAGCACGCCGTCAGAGTGCAGGAGATTCAGTCGCTGCTCTACGGCTGGCAGGTGAGCGCGTCCCGGGTTTGTTCGTCAGTTCGTAATGTACAAGGTGCTAGAACTGCATAGAACCCTTCGCTGGAGAAAAGTAAGCTCTGCTAAATGTCATAGAGAAAGAAATATTTGTTTTTATGCGATGATCAATGTACGATTATTCTCCAACAGTTTGAAGATCTTACTACTTACGGCGAACTGGCAGCGGAGGGAACGTTCAGAATGTGGGGCGCGAAGGGCCTTCGACATGTGTTCCTCTTCGACAAAATGATCCTTATCGCCAAGAAGAAGGAGGAAAATATTCTTATGTACAAGACACACATTCTGGTGAGTAATCTCGCAACGTCACAGCAAGACAACCGGGGTTGTTATTTCTTCTTTACTATTATAATAACATGTGATATATATATGTATATATATGCGTGTATGTGTGTGTGTGTGTGTATGAAATATCAGCATAACAATCACACATTTGTTTTCTTTTCAGTGTTCAAACTTGATGTTGATCGAGTCTGTGCCCGGAGAGCCCCTCAGCTTTCACGTGATTCCGTTCGACAACCCTAGAATGCAGTACACCCTCGAGGTAAGGGCCACGTTACATGCCTGTTAATTTTCGTTCTATTTCAGTATGAACGGCTCATTTTTGCTGATTAATAGCGTGAAAAATCCTTTCCTCCTTTAGATGATGATTAAATACCTTCAATTTTACGTACATGAAAGGGATAACCAGTTCTCCGCTCATCCATGCTTTTGACACGATAACGAATTCTCTAACGAACGAATTCGATAACGAATGCTCATGCACTAAAAGGGTAACTGATTGTCTTCGTGTTTTCCTGTAGGCGCGGAGCTTGGAGCAGAAGAGAGAGTGGACGCTGCAGCTGAAGAGAGTCATCCTGGAGAATTACAGTGCCAACATACCCGCCCACGCCCGGCAGCTGGTCATGGAACTCGGCCAGAGCAAACCTGACGGTAAGTACGGGTGGAGAAGTGTTTTTTTCTATTTCTCTGTTTTTTTTGTTTTTCTTCAGATTTTTTATTGTTAAGTTGGAAGAGTATTTTGTAGTTTTTCTTCTCTTTTTTTGCTATTCTTTATGTTTTTCTTCAGCATTTTTTTCAAGATTATTATTATAATTATTACTTGGAAAAGGTTTTATTTAGTGGTATCTACACCTTGTACGTGGACTGATGGGCTCGATAGTAATGGTGTAAACCTTCCAACAGACGTACTGATGTCGGAAGTGCGCAGCAGCGGGCGGCGAGCGCACCACGCCCCTGAGTACCTGGAGAAGAGGAAGGTGGACCGGGAACGGCGGAGATCGTCTGAGGGAGGACTCAACACCAAGCTCAGACTCCGGCGACCCAGCAGAACGAGGAAGGAGAAAGAAGAAGTAAGTCAGAAAAGCTTTGATGCACTTCGTTTGGCATTTGTTCTCAAGGGAACTTATGCAATTTATCGCGACCGCGCACACACTCACACTCGCACTCACAGAATTCACATAACTCACACACGCACACACTTGTTTTGGGGAGATTTTGAGAGTTTGTTTCACCAGGAAAGTGATAATGTATGAAAAATTATTTATTGATTCCGTCTGTTCGCAGAAGGTGACGCGAAGCCGGAGCGTGAGCCGCACCAGAGATACCGAGGACGAAGAGATGGACCGGAAGGTGTCAACAACCTCAGCGCCGACGTCGTGTGAGAAGCCCAAGGTAAATTAGGAAAAAAAATCTTTCCACTCTTTAATTCGGCAAACACTTATTTCCTATAAAAAAAAATCCATTTTATCAGGGATATTAAGTCTGTTTTTCCTTACAGCTGAAGTTGACGATGTGGGGGCGCCGCCCGCTCAGAGCCCGGCATCGGCAGCCGGGAGTCGCTCTCGCTGGCCTCCACCATCAACCTGGACGAGGCGCTGGACACCCCGCCCCCCAGCCTAGGCGAGCAACCGCAGTCCCTCGACGCAGCCACACCCACCGGACCTGCCACTCCCGAGGTCAGTGCTTTCACCGCGTGCCTCCTTTGTGGTGATTTTGATATAATGGCGGTTTACTAGTTTAAGGAAGGAATGGTCAACAAAATGTTCTTAAAAGTGAATTGTTGCTGCTCCACAGGTGTCCCTTGACGGAGTTTCCATGTCCGAGTACGAGCGAGAGGACGGAGAAGGGAACAGGACGGGCAGGGAATACGAAGAAGGCAGCGAAAACGGAGAAAACCTCGAGGAGATCATCAGCCAGCTCCTTCAGAATAAACTGCAGCTGCAGAAGCTTCTCCTGAGCAAGCAGCGCCGAGGCTTGATGAGGAAGCTCCCGCTCCGCTACGAGACGTCCGACACGGAGAACGAGGACGGCCCCTTCAAGGCCAATGGCTCGTACGCAGGTTCGGACGCCGGCGACACGCTCCGGCACGAGGACGTGGGCGACTATGTGGACTTCTATTTCAATGGCATGGGCAAGGAGGGAGAGTGTGCCACGCACACTGAAAGTGCCAATGTTTCCAGTAGTGAATGCCAGTCGATTTACAGCAGTGCCGTCTCAGTGCACCAAACGTGTGATAACAAGTCTCTGTCTAGTGAAAAGAAGACGAAGCCAGTGAGGAGATCGTCGTCCGACCTCAGCTTCAAGAAGATGCCAACACTCAAGAAAATGAACTCGAATTACGACAATCTGCTCAACATCTGGAGCACGATCAGAGGGAAGAGCCCCGAGAAGAGGCAGAGCGGCGCATTCCAGCAAGCCAAGACCTCACAGACTCCCACGGCGACATTAGAGAGGCCGAGGTTAAGGCGAGCTCAGTCCTTCTCCGCGGAGAAGTGTCTATCGAATAACCACGAAAATATTTACGTCTCGGCGGCGCAGCTCACGCCCCAGCCCCACACGGCTCCCGCGGAGACGTCGAAGCCCCCGGAAGTGTGGGTGCGCGACGAGAGCCCACGGGAGAACCGCGAGCGCCCGGTCACCATCGCCTTCTACAACAGCAACGAGGTGAGCCTAAGCGCGCTCGAGCAGTACCTCAACCAGCCCCGGCCTCCGAGACGGTGCAGCGAGCGGTTCCCCTACGACACCGAGGACAATATGACGGATTACTCCATGACGCCGCACATGAGCATGGACAACATCCTCAGCATTCACCCCGAGCACAAGATTTACAAGTCTACAAATAATAAGTCGACCTTAAAGACTGTGTTAAACAAAATCACGAGTCCCAGAAATAACAAAACCGTGTCAGAACCTTCAGGCTCTGTCTACAATTACTCAATTGAGAGTGAGCTTGATAAGGGCGTGGATAAGAGAGCGAGTAAAATGGTGTACAACATGGCGAGACAATGTTCCAAAACCCTGAAGGAACGCATCAAGCAGATCCGAGCCGAGGATATCGAGAAAGCGCCCGTCCCCAAGTCCCCAACGGAGAACGTGTACGCCCTGCCGATGTACAAGCAGGGAAGTTCGAGTATCGGGGCTCGTTTGGCTGGTACGAACGAGCCTTCCGACTATGCCGTGCCGAGAATCCGACCTCTTGACCAGAAACCCAAGTCCGAACTCAGACCCGACTCGGTTCTCTCCTCCTCCTCCATCCTCACATCTTCCTCGTCCTCCTCCTCGTCTTCCAGTCGTGATACGAAATTTTTAGAAGGCATTGAAGTCTCTAATAACATGGCTAATGTGGAAGAGGAAAATGAGGAAAACCAAGAAACCCCTTCATTCGACAGCGACGCCTCAGCCGACAGTTATTATGAACGATCCTTTGAGGCGATAGAGAACCTGGAGACCGAGATATTCCGAGACAGTGCCATCTACAGCGACCCCGAAGACACGGAATCACCCCCGAACAGCCTGAATCAGGAGCGGCCATCCACTAGTCCCAAGTCCAAGACCCCCAATTCCAAGAAATTCTCCCCCAGATCTTCAACGAAAGTCACGAAAAAGGCTGTGTCCCCCAGCCGCCATGCCTCCCCCGAGATCGTGGTGACGCCTGAGGAGTCGTCGGCCGCCGCGGAGGCCGAGTCGACGTCCTCCAGCGGCGTGGCATCCATCAGCCCCCGGTCGTCCCCTCAGTCGAAGAAGGTCCCGCCCCCCGTCCCCGCCAAGCCTGACAGCATAAAGACCAAGCGCCCGTGCGGGAACCTTATCATGCAGCAGCTCAAGAACCTGGAGGAGTGCACGAAATCCAGTCGCGACGACCAAAACAGCAGTCCCTCGTTCGACGGCTTCCGAAGCCTGGACGACCGCCGAAAGGAGCTAGAGGTGTGTCGGTTCAAGGGGGACGACGGAGAAGAGCCCAGCACGTCCCCCAGAGGAACCCCAGAGAGAGAAAACAGTGCGGACAGGAGCTCTCGGTCGCCGAGATCCCCCTCTCTCATGACTCCCCCTATTATAAAAAATCCCATTACTTTATCTCCCCTTAGTTTACCCGTGACTAGGTCGTCCTCAGTACCACCCAGACTCTCCCCGCGCCCCTCACTCACGCCCGAGTCTCCACTGCCTGCCTCTGTTGGAACGCAAAGTCCAGCAGGGAGTGAGAGGGCGTCACCACTGCCGCCGACGTGCCAAGATGTGGAGGAGCTGGATGAACCGCGCGTTGCCAGGGGTTGGGTGCGACATGTTATAGGGAAGTTACAAGCGGAAACAGACGTGTGATAGTGAGATGTATGTATGTATGTACACACACACACGGACATACATGTGTGTGCGTGTATGCGTATGTATGTATGTATGTGTGGAACATGCTATTTAATGGCGTAATAGCTCACAGACAATAAAGTGCATTGTGTTAAAACAGTAAAATACTATGTTCTGCGACAAATGAAAACTAATTTTTGATCGTGAAAAGTTATAACCGATGGACATCCTTACCAGAGGGTTTGAATGTTAAAGCTGCATTTCGAACCAAAAGTTTCCCGAAACCCTTTTGCCCTTCAGTAAGTTCTATGAACTTATATTCAAAATAGATGAGCTTGCCATTGCATTATCCAGTGAAGACGAACGTGGAGAAAAGGCATTGACTTTGCTGCACAATTGGTTTTTTCATACAAACTAGTCAAAGACAATCTCTTTACGGCATAGTGTTAAATAAATCAAGGTCAAAAACTTTCGAAATCCTGCATTTATTACTCTTCAAGTTTAAACTCATTTTTTACCTTATCATTAATACCTTTCGGCTTTATTATACTTTGTTATTGTTTCTTTCCATTTTACTAGAAGTTTTTGACCTATATGTATTATTTTTGTTGGTGCTTTAAATATGCATTATTGAATTATTAATTGAGATTTGCTTTCATTTCTAGTTCCATGTGATGGCTTTCCCCCATAATTGAATGCTATTAATTTTAACTAAAGATTCTATGTTTTAATCCTCACCTTCTCTTATGCTCTGTCACTCAGTGATTGTGTACAGTGTCACGATTGCGGGAAGCGGTGGGAATCCTTATTGATCCTAAGGCTCAAAATCCAGTTTTTTTTGTTCAGTCTTAGCACCCATAAGATTATCACCGTTGTCCTAGCGGGAGTGAACTCTATATGATTGTTTTCTTTTGGTACATTATTATACGGGAACTTTTTATTACATTTGGATGTTAATGTAAGGATCCTTTTTGTGCTTTTATAAAGCAAAGAACCTATGTACAGTTTATACATACTATAATGTTCTAATAAAAAATACAATACGAAGTGCTTCTTTTATTTCATATGTTATGATCATTTATTACTTTTGTCAATCAAATATAATAAATAAGTCGTATCTACTATACGGAAGAGGAAAATACAAAACAGATTTTCTTCATATAATGAATGTCTTGACCGCAGATAATCTTCTTTCCATTAGCTGACGAGAAAAATTACTTAAAGGTAAATAATCATGTTCTTTATGATTTATATTTAATGAACAGTATATAGAAAAAAAACAATTTCTCCTTTACCTTTCTTGTAAATGACATGATAGACTATCCTTAACCATATCACTCACACACACACACAACAACATATAATTGTATATATAATATATATATATATATATATATATATATAA